CAATTCAATTTCTAACAAAAGAAAGTGCGTAAATGATGTTCTTGATTTTTTAAATATTTAAATTAGTATTTAAATTATTTTAGTCTGGGATTAATTTATGTGTTATATATTTTGAATACATAAGATTATATATTTAACCGTTTTCTTTTAATTTTTTAACACTTTTATTGTCAAGTTTGCTCATTTGGGAAAGAAGTAATTTTAGGTATTCAAGAAAAAGTTCCTTTTGAACAGTGGCCATCTTGGCAGGAGAAATTGCCGTTTATCCAATGAGGTTTGACCGTTTGGCTACGAAGAACTTCACGGAGAGGGACGCAAGATCGAATCTTGTCGAAGGGCACATTTCCTTTAATCCAATATTATTCCTATAAATGTCATATTCGGCAGCTACACGTGTTTGAAAAGACATCCTTATTATTTTTTTTTGCAGTGAAATTCATATCAACTGACCTGGATTTCGAGAAGTCTTGTCAAAGAAATTGTCTCCCGACCGGAATCGAACCTGTATTACGTTTTTTCTATAAGTGAAACCACTTTTAAGCCAAGTGTGCACTACCAATTATGCTACTGGAAATCTTCGGACTAAAACAAGGTTCATTTATCTATTGAACATTCTAACCCTATATGTGTTAACTTTATTTTCGTACCCGAAACGTAAGCAAATTAATTTTTAAGCAATTAATGTATTTTATCGTGATCAAGGCACTTAATGGAGATAAATACGGGGTTGTATAACTTAATCAAAATTTAGTTGTGATTCTTAATTCATAATGGATATGTACTTTTACAATTACTATCCTTTTTCTTCTTTATTTCTCCAATTCAATTGAATCTTTATGGATCTCTCGCTTGTACGGACATTTTGAAATCATGTAGGAATGGATTTAACATAATTAACATTTTTGAGATATGATAAGATTTTCTCAGATAGTGTTATGGTCCGGTCCCTTGTACCACGGTGATAGTCCAAGGTAGAACCAATAAAGAAGAACTCGAACCCGTATATGAATAACACAGATATATTACAAACAGGAATATATACAGAGAGGTAGAAAGTGTTAGTACGAACAATCAGGTTTAGTAGTAATTGTCTGAACGTGACTCTGTTTCGGACTGCCTCTGACTCGACTGACTGACTCGCTCTGACTGACTGACAGACTCCTGACGGACTTCAGACGGACCTCACTCCAGACTTCAGACTGAACAGTATTTAGTCACCCACCACGAGGGCATCATGTGGCACAAGGACGGTTAACGTGGGATCTCCGAGCCCGTGGTCTCGGCCAAAAATATGCCCTTTGAACCCGTATAAACGGGTTCAGGGTCGGTTTACCTCCCCGAAAGAGACTCCGCCCTTCGGCGTAGCCTCGTTTGGGTTCTTCCCCGCCGGAAGCCAGAGAGTTCAACCAATCAGCCGGTCGCCCGACTTCGGGCTGAACTCCCTGCTTCCTCTTGAGGCGCTGTATTTATTGCGTATGGAATAGTCCATTATGTTATTATGGGTAAGGTCCCATAACAGATAGTAAGACTAGCTTTTAATCTTGTATCATGTATTTTATTTTATAAACACAACATGAATTGTATGTATAAGAATTTATTATTTAACTAAATGAAATCGGTGTATAATCTGAACAATACAGAGTTAATAGCGAAATCGGATGTAGAATATACAGATTTCAGATTATCGGGACGTAACGTTGCCAGAGATGTCAGGTTTTTAGTTTATGTAAAAGTGTCTTCTGTTTTTTGGAGAAAGCATTTATTATTCAGACACATCACCATCTTGATATATTGGGAAAGAAAAAAAAAAGATTATTTACGATAAATCGCTTATTATTTATGAATTGTAAGAATATATTTATTGACAAAATTTCCAGATTTTTAAAAATAATTAAAAAAAAAATCTACAATTGTAAATATTTCACTATCTTGTTCATCGCTTAAGACATTTAAACAATGTAAATATAAATGAATATAAATAAGACATTTAAACAATGTAAATATAAATGAATATAAATAAGACATTTAAACAATGTAAATATATATGAATATAAATAAGACATTTAAACAATGTAAATATATATGAATATAAATAAGACATTTAAACAATGTAAATATATATGAATAAGACATTTAAATAATGTAAATATAAATGAATATAAATAAGACATTTAAATGATGTAAATATAAATAAATATAAATAAGACATTTAAAGAATGAAAATATAAATGAATATAAATAAGACATTTAAAAAATGTAAATATAAATGAATATAAATAAGACATTTAAAGAATGAAAATATAAATGAATATAAATAAGACATTTAAAAAATGTAAATATAAATGAATATAAATAAGACATTTAAGAATGAAAATATAAATGAATATAAATAAGACATTTAAATAATGTAAATATAAATGAATATAAATAAGACATTTAAAGAATGGAAATATAAATGAATATAAATAAGACATTTAAAGAATGGAAATATAAATGAATATAAATAAGACATTTAAAGAATGAAAATATAAATGAATATGAATAACACATTTAAATAATGTAAATATAAATAAATATAAATAGGACATTTATATAATGTAAATATAAATAAATATAAATAAGACATTTAAACAATGAAAGTATAAATGACTATAAGACATTTAAATAATGTAAATATAAATGAATATGAATAAGACATTTAAATAATGTAAATATAAATGAATATAAATAAGACATTTAAATAATGAAAATATAAATGAATATGAATAAGACATTTAAACAATGAAAATATAAGTAAATATAAATAAGACATTTAAACAATGAAAGTATAATATCCATACACAGGAATGTAGAGGGTAAGAAATAATAATAAAATAATATTCACAGATAAAAATAATAATACCCTGAATATTATATCACGTCAACTATTTTATAGATTAGACAGTAGAAAGAAGAAGTGTAATAAAGTTATGTATATTATAATGACGCTTATTTTTAAATAAATTTGCCCAAAGCAAGGCAATAATGCCACTAAGACGCTACTAGGAGTGAAAGAGAATGAGAATACTTTAGGGAGAAACCCAATCCTAAAGAGGAAACAAGGGTTAAACCTCTACTCCTGTTCAAAAGACCAAGGAGGAGTGTGAACCGGATGATAGTTGAATCTATCTACTCTTATTAAACTTATCAATTTAGAAGGGTGGTCCAGTTCATAACATTGATACAGTGTCAAATCAAATCCCGACTCCCACTGAGCCATCTGCTTAGGTTTTATTTTCATTGAAATATATATCTGTACATAAAACAGTTTTCTTATTATTTTGTAAAATGAATTCTTTTAAATAGACAATAAACGTATATGCACATTTTTTGGATATCAAGAAAATATTTTAAACCAGAAATTGTTTATCGAAATAGCTTGGTTTTTTATTTTATTTTACAAAATTATTTTTTGTCATTAAAAAACAAATGCTTAAGCTAGTGCCATACTTTTAATTCAAATTAATTACTCAATTTTTGTATTTGTTACCGTAGCACACACAAAAAATGGCACATCGTAGCACAGCAATTAGCGCAACAACATTAAAATGTTCTAACTTATAAAATAAGGCAATTTTTACTCCAGTCGGACTACCGGTTTCCATGTAATATTTTATTAGGTATAAACTGAGCAAAATATTCTGCCCAAGGCAAATATTTCTAGGTTCATTAAATGCTAATTACATAGCCTTTATAGTTTCATTTAATAAAAAAAAAGCGACGGGATCAGACAAAGATGAATTTTGACCTGTTTGCACTTTCTATCAGCCTTAGTCGTATAAGACTGATATTATTTTAATAATTATTATAAATAATCATTAAACTTAGTGATATCGGATCTTTTCTGTCAATTCACCCCAAAATATTAATTCAACCCAAAATAAAAAGATTCTGTATTTACTAAAATTCACACCAAATTCTCCCAGAGCGAAGCCCTTCCATTGCACTCCGGTTGGGTTGACGTTTATGATCACCCCAAATGTGGGCGACTCGGGTGCGCTATTTCTAAGTGTGGGGTCTACGTTGGCGCTCACCTCAATAAACAAATCAAAACCAGATTTTTTTTTTTTGAATTCTAAGAAAATCCTTGTAAGTACGTCGAATATCGTTTGCACTTATGAAATGTGAATAACTCCCTGACATTTGGTAATTTTTCATTCTTAGGATTGGAGTTGTTGTGAGGCAAGTTAAACAAATTTTGATTTAAAATTTATTATTTCAAGAGTACCAAAAATTCAATAAAAAACAATCAAATTTTGATTTAAAATTTAAAATTTCTTGCGGTGAATTAATATTTGCGATGAGTAATTTTACATTATTTGGGGTGATCCATGATATCTTTTGCATTAGTAAATTATCAAAAGATAAACGATATAAAAAGCAAGTAACTTGATATCGAGTGTAATGGCGGTATTTAAACTTTATATATATATATATATATATATATATATATATATATATATATATATATATATATATGTGTGTGTGTGTGTGTGTGTGTGTGTAATTTGGTGACCTGCTTTGTTGTTGCATGTTTTGTGTCAATCATCGCTGATGAGCCAAGATACACCAAAAGCTGCAGTATGTATTTACTAAGCTTTTCTTAGTTTGACACATTAATTGAATAATGACTCTGGAGATCTGTTATGAGTTGATCTACTGTAAGAGTCTTAGCCTGGTTTAAAACTATCCAGACCTGTAACTTCTGCGTAGTGTCAGATACTGAGCCTCGAAATGAGTTTTATCGACCCGATGTTTTCCGAAATACGCCGAAATGTTATAGTTTCTTGTTACGCCCACAACTGCAGGTAGATCACGTGTTCTGTAGATTCGATGCCAAGGGTACCTTTTCTTTTCGTGCTTTCTACATTTGAAAGGAAAATTAAATAAACACAAAAGAAGGAAAAATAGCAATTGGCCCGATTTTAAACAGATGGTAATCGCGTATCTGTAAATCATAGCCTTTCTTAATTTACCCTCCAGTATAACTACTTCCACCAACACTTCCCACCAGCCGTGCCATTTAGCGAATACCCGACACATCCACCTGGCTCTAGCTTTACCGAAGTAAGCAGGGATAATCATTGACGTGGATCCCACACAACACACATACATGGCGTGATGTTGCATCATAAATAAGAATAAAAAAAAATCTAAGCGACGAATCACGCGATGCTCTCCAGAAATGTCGAAAAATATTTCTTCTTCATTTCAAACATTTTCTTTAGATATTTATTTATATCTTACTGTGTTTTGATCACAATGCTTTCAGTTGATATGATCTTCAGACTTCAGTTTAAACTGAGAAATCGGTAGCTTTCGATTCGTGTTCCAGGATCTCCAGGATGTTATGTAAGCAATGATTATATCCTGTTGGCTACTGAAATTGCAAGCAGACGGGTTTTGTTAGCAATTACCTTCATTCTAACTTTAACACCATTTCATTGCTTTTACAGTATAATCTCCAGTATATGTTTCCGCCATTTAGTTTCAAATGTATACAAAATTATATAACTTAAATTTAGGTATTTAGATTTAATCCAAAATTTAAATAAAGAGAAACGAAAAAGCATAATAATCTACCATTCAGTCCAGATGCTGTCCCGAGTGACTCTAGCTTATTCTGCTCAATGGCACACTTCATCCGCGACCAGAGATTCAACACTTTTGATGAAGTGAAGGAAGCTTGTTTATAGTTTTTTTTTATTCAATGCTAGTGGACTGGTATCTGGGACAGATTCGGATGGTGGCTGATCGCTAGCAGAAGATTGTCAAGAATGATGGACTTTATTTTGAAGAATAAATATTGGTGTTATTCCATAAATTTTTGTTGTTTTCTTTTCTGGCTAACCTGAATGGCAAAGTAAATGTTTTTTTTATTTAGTAGTTTCTTTTTTTTTTTTTATCTCGGTTGGTGGTATATTAAATATTCGAGTATTAATTATGGAAGGTTAGGATTATAGGTGTATTTCTTTGTTTATATGTCTTCACACACACATACACATAATACGGAGAGAGAGAGAGAGAGAGAGAGAGAGAGAGAGAGAGAGAAAGAAAGAAAGAAAGAAAGAAAGAAAGCTAGATTGTGCGTTTGTATGTGTGAGAGAGGGCCATTTTCTAGGTGCACTGTGAAAATGCAATTCTAAATTTCCTTTGAGTTATTCTGTTTTTGGTTTACTTTTTACTTTGAGCATTTTAATTGACTTCCGTATTATTTCGAACGCTTTCTTTTCTAAGATTTTTCGAAATATTTATCTTCAATTATATATATATATATATATATATATATATATATATATTATTAGTATTAGTAGTAATCCTATAGGTATAAGAAACTACACTCGTTCGGAAAACCCTCTTGATTTGCAAATAATCAAACCAATACCAAAGGGAAAAAAAGTATGAAAAAAGAAAGAACCAAGAATAATCGTCCAGCATACAATTTCAAAGCCCAAAGAAAAAACCCCGATACGAGTACGCAAAACAACTAAATAAAGTGCTCAATACAGTAAGTAGAGCAGACCTAGTTAAACCTATAGAGCCAGACAAACCTACCAAGGTTTCACCTAAGCGGATCGTCAGGATATATATATATATATATATATATATATATATATATATATATGAAGTTTTAAGGTGTGCTATATTTATGGGATAAAGTGCTCAATATCAGAGATAGAGCGTGTGTAAATATAAAAATAAACATTGAAGTCAACACTTAGAGGCGACAGGCTGTTTCATGCTAGACGCAATTGTCAGGCCTGATATATGCAAATTTGAAAATTTTTCACAAGGATGATGCGGACAGCCTTATTCCGAAATCGACTATAAATTATATAAAAGAAAATATCACGAAATTGGTCAAGCCTGTTTCTTGACTTGAGTTTTATAGAAAATTGTTGCAATATTAAGGAGGAAAATGAAATGTAGATATTCACAGATATTGAACAGCTTTGAGAGATAACGAAGACGGAATAAAAAAATATTGATCATTCTTTTATTTTCAATTTATAATCCTTATTAACGAAAATACTTTTCGTTAATAAGGATAAATTTTCATTAAGATATAAAGTATTTTCATATATTTTGAGTATGCCTTTATCGAATATAAATTGACATTCTCATATAGAGTCACGTACATGAAAAAAAAAAAAAAGAAAAAAAAGGAACAATTTGATGTTCACCTAAGAAAATAATTCTTTTTCCGGTTCCGGTTTGGAAGCAGACGACATTTTTCTCCGTTTTTTTTTTACAATTTTTCATTTGTTTTGCCGTCAACTTCGAATTTCTGACTGAAATTCAACCAAATAAGTTATATTTTCTCGTAGACAACGTGTCATAGTATATTTATTTATTTTCAAATTTTTCCTTATTAACGAAAAGTATTTTGTCTGATTTAATAATAAAAGGGCTAGTATGAAGTATGATGTAATCTCTTTTTATTATAATGTGTATTTTCAAATAGTTCCCTATTCAAATGTTATAGAATAACCTTTAGATTAATATACTGTTTCTCTCTATTTAAATTTTGAATTAAACCTTGAATCACAATTTTAAGTTATAAATTTTTCAATGCACTTGATACTACGGACCTTAAACATTCATTCGAGCCTGTAGTAGTAGTAGTAGTAGTAGTAGTAGTAGTAGTATTAGAGTAAGCTGATCTGAACAGGAGGATTTCTAGAAATTAAGGGAAGCTTACAGAGATGCTTTATTGCTTATCCGGGTTGCTTACTAGTGATCGTCGAATGATAGTATCAAAGTTACAATAAAAAGCAAGAGAAATAAAACTGTAGAAATATTAGTAAAAATAACAATAACTTTCTTTCTTAAGTAAATCCTTTTCTTTTCCCTTCTGTCTCTTTCTCTTGTTTCTGTCTTCCCGCCGACCTGAAGCAATCCATACGGTAAATATCACATGACTCCATCAATGGACGAACACGTTTTAACCTTCCTAGCAATCGGCGTTTAATTTATTTTTAACTTGAATCAATATTTCCCTTTCTTTGTCGCAACGACGTTTATTCAAATATTCACAAAATAGCGGGAAAATCCCGCACTGCTGCTCGTCAAAACAGGATTAGCATCACTGTTGTTGATGAACAATTACCATTTCGATTTATAACAGGATTTTGCAGACATTTGTACACACACATGCGCGCACGGGCGCTAACACACGCATTTACACATTTGCAAACTCCTCCCCCATTACACATTCAGTCGCTTGCATATAAAAGCCTCTTGTATGACAAAAGTTCAACTTAAGACAAAATCAATTTTGGACGTTTACATATTGGCGATTCTTTGTTCTAAAAAAAAAAAAAAGGAAAAAATCTTGGCTTTATTCTTGAAATTGTGAATCTCATTGGCCGATTGGATTTTTGGACATCACGGGACCTGTTTAATTCATAGGCATACACTTAAAAATCCAGAGGTTGGTATTACTTGTTAAAATGGATGAAAGGTTACTTTCGTTACCAACTTGAAAAACACCCATTTCCATATTTCATTTTAAACTATTAATCGGCTTTACATTGTGATCGTTCGTTGGTTTCACAATATCATTTCTGTGGCTATGAATAAATATCCATCAATCGTGCGAAAATGTATAACTTGTAATTTTAGAAGAATTTGTAATCGTCTAGTCTTTTTATTCATCAAAACAAAGGTAGCATAAAATAACAAGAAATCAACTTCCCAAACTTACGAACTAAGTTTTATTCTGGTTTGTATGCAGTGGCATAGCTACAGTGTGTGCGGCTCGAGGCAGCCCTTGAGTTTGCCGCTCTCAGGCCACTACAAAAATACATATTGCACAGTGACTCACTCTTAAAGTTTTATATATATATATATATATATATATATATATATATATAACTACGGCGTCTTTCTTGCTGAATTTCATCTTAGCATCAAGAAACTGATAGGAGAACTGGAAAGGATCAGTATAAAAATAAATAGACACAATATGCAACATGTATATTAAATGAAGCATGTTTGAATGAAGATATGCTGCCTATATATATATATATATATATATATATATATAAACTAATTTGTGTACCATTATAATATTACTTTCACATACTCAAATACCATATGCTTTAAATACACACCAAATAAACTTAAACTTTATCAGTAACAGTTAAAAAGCACAAACGACATTTAGGGAAAAAAGTGTAACAAAATTAAGAACATCTTTATTTCTGAAATGAAAATTACAACTTCTTACAAAGTAACTGATATGTCCCGGAAAGGGATATATTTGTTCGAAGTAGCAAAGTGGTTTTGGACTACTGTAACCGAGTAGGACAATCTATCAGGTAACCGTAATGGACTGATCCTCGTCGTAGTGGTAGGCAATAGGCGTAGGCAATACGCGTAGGCAATAGGCGAAGTCCATAGGCGTAGTCCCTGTACCTCCACATCAGTCTGTATATATGGCTGACACCAGCCAATCATATTACTGTGAGGGGGAACCCAAGTGTATGCATATTCATTACATCAGTAACTTTTCTTGCTTTTTTGTTGGCAAATTCTTCAATGACATCATTAAAAACTATTTCATCTGTCAATTGTCGCTCTATAGTAGATCAGAAGTAATTCTTGATCAGTTTTAGTTTCGAAAAAAACTTCTTTCACAGGTAGCAACATTAACAACAATTGTGAGTAAAATCCGCATCATTATTACTATATTTTGAACCGACTTCCTTGGTTTATATTTTTATAATAAACTGCAAAAGTTCAAGAGGGTCTTCTTTCCATCTTTAATAGCAGCAATCACAATAAAATGATGGTCTTTTTTTATCAACAAGAAACTCCTCTTTATTAATGTCATAGTAATTGTGATCTATTTGATATTCATATTTATCATCCATTAGATTCAACCGGGTAAGGAAGCTATATTTCTCAGCAAGTTCATGATGCCGTTCAAATCTCAAAGTTATTTCTTGGATCACTGTTCAACTGAAATTTGTCCAATCTGCTAAACTAAAGACATGACCTGCTTTTATAAGGGATCCACAGGAACAATGTAACTTCTAACAGAAGAAAGGTAAGGATTAGTGTTTAAATTATGGATCTTCCTTTCTAACCGTGGGGGGGTGGTGGCGTTTAATAATAAGCCGACATTTCTTGAGCTGATGAAAATACTTGCTCTTAGTTATAAAAGATTTTAAGATTAGTTTTTATGTATATTTCCATGAATGGTTGTGCTCGTATATATAATAATAATAATAATTCTATATAATGGCGGTTTCAAAAATGGCGACTTTTCCCAGAACAACGTTTTCAATAGGTGATGCCTCTGATTATGTATGAGGTTTAAATTTCATTACTATTAATCCAGGACTCTCCTAAGATATTACCAGGATTTGCTGGTTTTCCGTCATCGTGCAAAAATAAGAGATCCATGCAAATGTTGCTTCTGTATCTAATATTAGAATCTTTTAATATATTTTCTCTTTTCTGTTTGTGACAATCCGAAGTTGGCGATAAAACATCCTTTTTTAATTTCTCAATCATTCAGTCTTCGTGTTAATCTTTATATTTCTTTAACTTGTATTTATGAGCTTTGTCTACATTAAACTCAAAGGGAATTGTTCATATTATTCTTTTTTAATTAACCAATTAGATTTCCAAAGCCGGACGATGTCCTGTTATCTTGATCTCAGTAGAAATTACAAGACGACTTTTCAAATTTACTGCGTATCTCTAATCAGTGAAATCATTACACAATATTTATTTGGACATTTTTCTAAAAGTTATTTGAAATGTTTTTAAAACTAAAAATACAAACATCTCCATCGAGTAATTAACATAAACTGTTGTTTTTACAATATTTATCCACTTTGATTAACTCACATAGATTTTCCTTTATATGTTAAAATCAAGAGATCAAGTAATTACATGACGCATAAAAATCTTTGGTCACTACATTTAAAACTGTTATTATTATTTCGACCTCAATGTTAATGAATTCACGAAGTCATATGAAAAAACAACGTATAGATTGAAAAACTACAGAGGCGGACATTGTTGATGTTTGTTGTATTTTGTCGTCAAGCGATAAATAATGTGTGTGTGTGTGTGTGTGTGTGTGTGTGTGTGTGAAAAGGAGAGAAATAGATAGAGAAGCAGATAGAGTGAGAGGGTTATGGAATAAGGAATTAGAGATTAAGAAAATATAGAGATAATATAGAGATAATATAGAATAAGGAAAAAGAGAGAATGAAAAAGTGTAAGAAAAGATAGAAAGAATATATATATACGAGAGAGAGAGAGAGAGAGAGAGAGAGAGAGAGAAAGCATAAAGGTAGCAAAGAGTGGAGGTGTAAATGAGTAAGTGATAGAAATGTAATAAGGAGTGAGGAAAAGGCGAGAAAGAAAATGAGAGAGAGTGAACGATAGAAATTAGTGGAAAATAAGAAAATAAGAAAAAGTCGTGTGTGAGTTTTTTTTTTCTTTTTTGTTTTGGTGGAATAATGGATAGCGGCTCGGATTGAGGAATCGAAGAACCGAGTTCGAATTCCAGTCGAATCCATTACATTTATGCTAATACTCTTGGGAAAGGTATGAATCCTCTTCTTCTCCCCCCCCCAGTTATGGGTAAATAGCAGGACAGACCAGGTTTTATAGCCTTGTATGTCAACTGGTCTACCGTAGAAAGAAATGGCAACCTATTGCAGGAAAAAAATCTACCTTGTCAGTTATGTATCGAAAGCTATATGATCGCCTAAGCATGTATTTACGCATGACACATAACTGACTGAAATTCTCTTAAGTGCTGATACCATTGGGAAAGGTATGAATAATCTTCTTCTCACACCCCCACTCACCAGCTATGGATAAATAGGACAGACCGAGTTCTATAGCCTTTATGACAACTGGTCTACCGTTGAAAGAAATGGCAACCTACTGCGGGAAAAATCTGCCTCGTCAGTTATGTATCGAAACATATATGCTCTCCTAAGCGTGTATTTACGCATGACACATAACTGACTGAAATTCACTTAAGTGCTGATATCACTGGGAAAGGTATGAATCCTCTCCCCCCCCCCGCCTAGCTATCGGTAAAATAGCAGGACAGACTGGGTTCTATAGCCTTGGATGGCAACTGGTCTACCGCAGAAAGAAATGGCAACTTACTTTTAATCCATTTTAGAACCTTCAACATTTTGGTTGCAATTTTTTTTTCTTCTAAAAAGTACATTTTATTTTTGAAAGATTTTTTATGTATGGCTAAAATCAGCGATTAAAAAAACTAGTTTCAATCAAATTAAATTTATTTTGAAATGCAGCAAAGTATTTTGCTTATTGTAAATATTAAATTTAATCTATTAGCATTTTAAGCTAATGCATTAAATTTAATATTTCCAGTGAGAACTAAATAATGAAACAAAAGCTTTAAGAAAGAGTTTCAATTTAAATAAATTCATTTTAAACCTTATAGCTTTTCTTCGTCGGTACCTATAGTAACGTTCAAAAGTTTTCGGTTACTTTAAAAACTATTTTAAATTTTTAATAATTAAGTAACTGTTTGACGTCGCGTTTTCTACAGATTAAACATTGTTTCTATTGGAGTCATTTCTTTTTTTATATTCTGTTGTAGACATTCTAAATGAACAGCTCTCAAAAATAGCCATGCCACGAAAAACCGAACCAGATACAGTGTCTTAAATAAAATGTTATTGTACATTGTTAATATTTTGTGTGGATTAATTTCAAGTCTTATTTCAATGCACCTGAGAAGGATGTGAACAGATATGAAATGTCATTCTGTGTGGCTCAGGACCTTGATCAGCTTGAATGTCTGTAACATGGATTTCGTCATGCGGAAAAGAATCTCATATTCATTCATGTTTGGCATTGGCCCTTCAGTTTCAAAGTGCTTGTAGTGACTCCATGGTTTTGGCACTATTCAAGCTACTGTCAACTTTAACAAGTGTTAATGAACACACAGCATCATGGAATCAAAGATGTCGGTTTACATGTTACTGACTTTGATTCCATCACATATTTCTCTCTATAACTAATTGATATTATTATATTTTGTTGTTTAAAAACACACTTATTTGGTCAGATCATTCTGATTCGTGGGGAAAAGCATTTAGAATAATATTCACAAAGGAAATAACATTAATAGAAAATGCCATTCTTTATTTCCTAGAAGAATTGATTTCGAAAGGGACAGTATTGGGTACATTGAGACATGAACAGACTGATCACAAATTTCCAATTCCCTAAACTAGGGAGTATTAAATATATATATATATATATATTATATATATATATATATATATATATATATATATATATATATATATATATATATATATATATATATATATATATATATATATATATATATATATATATATATATATATATATATATATATATATATATAATAAAAAGAAATAAAAATAAAAATATTATAATAAAAAGAAAGAATAGTAAGATATATAATCCGGTGTTCTTATTGATATTTTCGGTTTTTGAAACATGGTAATTCCTGTGTAGCTAAGAAAACATATTTTAAATCAGTTAATTTATATATATATATATATATATCATCGTCATCATTTCACTAATCCCAACAAAGGCGATAAAGCTCCTAAGACGCACGAGGTGGAGGGTTACTGAGAATGAAAGAAACCAAGAGAACGTTGAGAAGACATTAAAAGGCCAGGATTCAAGGAGACAAAAGTGAATTGCTGTTACATTTAAATTTTTGCAGATCGTAGTTGACAGGAAAGCAAGAAGCCTGAAGAGAGTTTCACAAGCGAGAGGTGCGAGGGAAGAAACCATTAGCATAGAATTTACAGTTACACTTAGTAATTTCAGCAATAAAACGATGAGACCTATCTGCCAATCTGGTACTGCGCTTTAATTCATGTCAAGGTTACAAAGTCAAAAAAGCTCATCAGAACAATCAGCTTGAAAATATTTATGGAGAAAGGCACACGGAAAATAGGTTACGGCAATGGGAAAGTGACTGAAAACGAGATGCAATGTCAGGACCATTAACATTGCAGATTATTTGGATTCTGCCAAGAATTTTTAGATGTATATCAGTAGACTAGTTATGGCAGCAATATTCGATGCCCGAACGTATGGCAGAGTTGTAAAAGTGCAAGATAAAATTGGTTATCCCGGCAAAGTGAAGCAACTTTCCTTGTATGCAGACCTATTATTTGATTCAATCATTCCAAGTCGTGGCAGTAAAAAACGTTAGACCAAAAAGGCGCAATGCGTTATTGTCTTTGGGGTTAGCATCGGCCATACTGATGGAAAATAAAAAGCTTCTCATAAATGAGTAAAGGAGAGCAGTTTTGTTTTGGAGGCGGAATTGAAAAGAAAACCAAAAATAGTACCTTCGACAGGAATCGAAACTGCTAACCCGAAACGTAAACAATAATTATTTAAAGCTTTTTTTTTTTAATCCGACATTACAAAAGTTATTTTTAGTGGATATATGCATTCGTTGCTATTTGCTGTTCGATACGAGGAGATGAAGTGGGTGTGTTTATCACTTTATGTGTGAATCTGAAAAAATTGTCTTGCATTTTTATTAGAGAATCCTGTATTGGATTTCAGACAGAATTTTGCCTCAGTTCGGTGACAATATGGTTGCTCATATTGCCAACATGCTAAGGCCGTCTTGCAAACTCTGTCCAGAATCAATAGTGGAATAAGTAGTAATTATTCTCTGAAGAGGTTGGAAATTATCCAAAAGGTCAGACTGATGGCATCAGAGGAAGCCAACATTGGATTGCTTCTGATGATCAGGCAATAAATAGATTCTTCTAATTGACTTATTTCGTCTCTTTCCACCCCAGAAACTGAAAACGCCATTACTAATCTGGATCTAATTTGCATCAAAGCAGAGTAGATATTTGCTAAACATAGCATAACACAAGGCCACCAAAATAGAGCATTTAGGAAGCATAAAATTTACTCCACTAGCAATAGACTATGCAACTAGTCATTGCTTTCCACTGTCCGTCTTAGGTAGAGATCTTACTAAGCTTTGCTTAGTCTGTTATAATATTATAAAGGAAGAGTCCCCAGTGAGGCTCAACTTCTTAAAGTGTTGCGAAGACACTTCATCAACCAACACTCTTCAGCATGTCAGATATTTACCAAATTTAATTTCATCAGGCCATGATTTTAGGGTACTTATTGATCCGTAAGTTTAAGCTGCTCATAATTACTCTACTACAGGCGTTCAATTACTAAGTTTAGCTTAGTGTGGCACAAGGTTTCCGTATGAGGCACTGATCTCATGGCACTAACAATCATCTACGAAATTAGCTTCTTAAGTAGGTGCCCAATCAATCAGAGAATCTGTCCCAAAGTGAATAATAATATAAGTTAGTCATAATTTTTTCATATTTTTTGTAACTATTGCATAGTAGGCGTAGCATAGAAATAAATTCGATATGAGTTTCGCTAATAAAGAAAGAAAAATCACAATGTATATGTAGGGCCATATGGGATGTAGACAAAAATATTTAGGAAAATCTGTGTCATTTACGTTAAATTAACACTAAACAGTAAGAAAGGGTTATTGGACATAAGTGCAATGAGATAAATTATCCGAACAAATATCTTCGTCATTGTAGTTTTCTTATCAATGTTTCCGTTGATATGCTTGATAAAAACAACAAATATAAACATTGTTTTAAGGGTAAAAGTGCGTTTAATACGTCAACTAATGTGATAAATAAATCGCTTTGTGATATCATGTATCGCGGGAGAGTTATAATACAAATAAAGCGAGTTTAGGCTTTAAAGATTCTTCTCCTATTCAGTACCTCCTTATTACGCTAAAGAAGTGGCATCAGAGAAATTCAGTAACGTTTGTAAGCAATATATCGATAGAATAAGATTAATTTTGAATCCATTCAAATATCTGTAAGTTCTTATCTTAAAATGGCTTTGGAAATGTATAAATACTCATTTGTAGCGAGGATCAGTATTTTCTTTATTTGAGCCACAGTACAAGTGAAGGGAGTCTGCTTAATGGATATTCTAACACACAACCAGTATTTCACCGTGGGAAGTTCTGACGCCTTTACGGCACATGTCATGGGGTCTGGCCAATTTTACCTCTACCATACGTACGAGGGTGGACTGAAAAGTTCATAGACTATGAAGGAGTGATGCTGGCACTGTGAAATCTTGCGTGCATTAATTTCAACTCTTTTCATTAATAACTGCATTGTTTCTTTCCATGTAAACTGTCATTTGACTTTTTAAAGAAGGCTGTTAATCCTGTTGGTAAAAAAAGTCATCAACAGCAGATATGATGTCATCATCAGTGCGATACTGGTCCTCAGTCAAGTGTTTTTTCATATTAGGAAATAATTTTTCACAATGGGGGAAGAAAATAATATTCAGCTGGCCTTTCTGGATGAACAGAACATCAATATATCACAAGCTGATCTTCAACGGACAATACCTCAACGTCAATTGTACCATCCATACTATATGAAGAAAGGGATCGGCCGATGCCTATAACACCGCGCAAGAATCATGAGGCAACCCAGACACATACCAACAAGAAATGAACAAGTATCAAGCGTACCCTTCAAACATCAGCGTCTGCAGGTGGAAACAGAAGGGCCAAGGAAGAATACCAGAAAATTATCATGCTACCTTACGTCAAAGGCTTATCGGAAAAGATCTGCGCTTTATACAGCATCAGGATAATATTCAGAAGCAGCTCCGCTCTGCGGAGCAATCTCTGCCGAGTCAAGCATAACGCAAGGGAGAACATGACGAGGAGCTGCGTGTGAAACAAGCCGACCTCTAAAAGTAAGACTGGAAGGACATCGAAAAACAGTAGTGAGATGTGAAACAATGAAATCGGACATAGCTGATCATGTATGGAGGGAAAAGGGTAGTCATCAGCCCCTGTGGAATGAAGTGAAAATACAAGACGAGGAAGAACACTGGAGAGTTAAACGTCTGAAAGTATCATCTCATATGCTAGGTTATGAGGACCCCCTTCGTAGGTCTAGCATAGAAATAAATTCAATATAAGTTTCGCTAATAAAGAAAGAAAAATCACAAGTATTCAAGAGCAGCATCAGTCAAACATAACATGTAGTAGCAGCGCTCATCATCAGCCAAGTTAGGTTTAAGGTTCCAAATTTACTACAGGGATCGTCCTACGGGACAAGAGCTTATTGGATTAAAGTTTTGATTTGTGTACTTGGTGTCATAGTAATTGTGAGTTCAGTCTCTGATCCGGGCAGATATGGTCTCAGTGGAAACGGGCAAGAAATAGCTGAACAGTACTAAAAGTAAGAAGTAGACAAGATAGTAATTTTTTTAGGTTGAATAAAGGGTTCAGTTCAGAATTCCCTGTAGATTACCCAGATCGATATAAGGCCGGAGGCATAACGACTGAAACGTTTTTATAAAAACAACATGAGAACAATATTACGAATATAAATAGTGTAAATAATGATAACTTCTGATCCCAGAAATTCAGATAGAAATTTCTATCAGCTTTGGTAGCTTTACTTGCGTAGCTAATAAGCTTTTGAAGTTTAGGCATTTCAAGTTAAGCAGCTGTCTATTCTTAGAGGATTTTTAAACGGTTTTTTTACCTCCCAGTTCATCCAAGTCAAATTCTATCTATCTATCTATCTATCTATCTATCTATCTATCTATCTATCTGTTCATATGTGTCTATTTAAGTCTATTCTTATCTATCTATCTATCTATCTATCTATCTATCTATCTATCTATCTATCTATCTATCTATCTATCTATCTATCGTTATAGCTGAGCTGTACAAGGCCAATGTAGAAAAGCAAGTATTTACTAAACTCTAATTAGCAATCTATCTTAGTCTGGCACAAGGCTACATTAGAAAAGCACCTAGTCAGTATCAAGCATATTATTCTAACAGATTGATCTACGAAAAAATAATTCATGCATCTCTAGACGTCCATTACATGTGAACATAATGAACAGGACCCTTTTTCTATTGATATCTGGAATGTAAAATAGTTATGGGAGACTGGTTTGTTCAAATACTTACTCGCCCATTCTTTGTCAACAGCCATACAATGCCAATGACGAGTTTTTGTCGTTTAACTAGAGCAGGTGGGGGAGTTGATTTACGCTTTTCCCAACGGATAAGTAGCTTCAGCTAGAAATCGAACTCTGTTCGCCGATTCCACATGTCTTCACATTTTCGTCTTTGAGGACGCACCCTTTTGCTTTGTTCTCTGCTTATTTTTTGTTTTGCGTCTTTTTCTCCGATTCCTGCTGCCATGTTTTAGATTCACTCAGCACATTTTTAAGTTGGTCAAGGTTTTCCCACCAAAACACAATGTTCTTTCGTTTATTATAAAAAATGTTCTTTCTCTTTCATTTCCCCCTTTTTTTTTGTCGACATTATTTGTCAAAAAGAGTTTCTTGTTCAAACACAAGATTAATGAATTTTATGCGACGAGTAAATATCTTTTAAATCTTTTCTATTCGCTGGATTATGAAACCCAACTCAGTCAATCGTCTCTTGTTGTAGCTGCTTACAAACAGACGCACTCCACCCAAAAAAGGATTATCCCTCTGTTCTGTTATTTTAAGGATCGCGGTTTTATTTCCAAGCGAACTCACAAAACCAATCGGCAGAACACGGCTTTTTTTAATGCAAAAAAGAACAGACAATAACAGACATTTGATCATAGCCTAAATGCCTAAAAACTCATACACAGATTTCTTTATATTTACAGTTTTAATACAATGGATTCCTACCGAAGAGCTATATTTTGCAAACTAAAAGCGTAGAGAATTCGATTCATATTAAGTACCTTAAAAATATAACCCTATGCCATATTAGATAGGTTTAGTAAAATATTACTAATATATATGGAGCTATTTTCAAGTCACTATTTTTACGTTGGTTCTTAAAGTCACATCGTTTCAGGACTTGTTCTGTCCGGTCTTCTTCAGGTGCCTGTCGTTTCTAGTAATCTTGTAGGGTTGACGTGGTGGTTATCGTCGGATAATCCTTAATTCCAATAGACACCAATTTTTGGCTAATTAAAAATGAATGCAAAGATAATTAGTACAAATATATATTTTGTATGTACTGATAAAATTTTATATCTCTTAAAATAAAATATTCAAAGAGCTGATAAATTCATATCAGAAAGTTCTCGTGTTGAATGTTTAAGTCATTTCGCATAGAGAAAAGAGACCTTGTAAATTTGTATGTATGTATGTATGTATATATGTAACTATGTATGTATGTATGTAAGTATGTATGTATTTATGTAAGTATGAATGTATGTAAGAATGTATGTATGTATGTATGTAAGCATGTAAGTATGTATGTATGTATGTATTTAAGCATGTAAATATGTATGTATGTAAGTATGTATGTAAGTATGTATGTATGTAAGTATGTATGTATGTATGTAAGCATGTATATATGTAAGAATGTAGGTATGTACGCATGTATGTAAGTATGTATGTATGCAAGTATGTATATATGTATGTAATATGTATGTATTTATGTAAGTATGTATGTATGTAAGAATGTATGTATGTATGCATGTATCTAAGTATGTATGTAAGCATGTAAGTATGTATGTATGTATGTAAGTATGTATGTATGTATGTAAGCATGTAAGTAAGTATGTATGTAAGTATGTATGTATGTATGTATGTATGTAAGTATGTATGTATGTAAGTATATGTAAGTATGTAAGTATGTATGTATGTAAGTATGTATGTATGTAAGAATGTAAGTATGTATGTATGTATGTATGTAAGAATGTATGTATGTATGCATGTATGTAAGTATGTATGTATGTATGTATGTATGTAAGCATGTAAGTATGTATGTAAGTATGTAAGCATGTAAGTATGTATGTATGTAAGTATGTATGTATGTATGTATATATGTAAGTATGTATGTATGTATGTAAGTATGTATGTAAGTACGTATGTATGTAAGTATGTATGCCTGTATTTATATATGTATGTATGTCTGTATTTATATATGTATGTATTTATGTATGTATGTATGTATATATCTCGCTGATAGTCGTAATCCTTTCGACTCTGTGGGGTTTTTAGGTGTCCTGATAATGTTGGGCAAGGGAAAACGGACTAAATTGTTTCATGGACTCTCATCGACTTTTGCGTGGTCGTCTCTGTGTTTTTACACTTTTCCTAGACAAAGGAATTCAATTTAAAATTGACTCTTGACTTCTGATTTGTTCACAGGTGTGACTAATTTTTGACAATCCCTTTTTCTTCACCAACATTTAGCAATGATGACCACTTTTATTTATTTATTTTTCTTGTCTTTTTCTTTCTTGCAAACGAAAAAAGTTTGCAAACTTTTTTTTTCGAAATAGTGACCTTTTTTTATTTTTCTATCACTACAATCTCGAAATTGTAAATCTAACTCTTTATTCAATCTACACAATAGATTGTTCTCATTCCGTCAAGGAATATCTTATATTAGTTAATTCGTCATAGTTATTTAATTATTATTATGTTTCTTTTTCCTTGTCCATTGAATCAGAATATATGACGTTCATGATTTGACAGAGAGATTGAACTCTCAAAGACCAAGTAAATATATGTAACACTTTTATATCGTACGACAATCAGATCGTGGAAATTTGAAATTGGAAATCTTTTGTTCATTATTAATTAAAAGATTAACTTCTGCAGCTATTTTAAATCCAGAGTTAACATTCTCCTAGGCTGGTTATTAACCAACTCTACAAAGCCGTAGTTTGGTGAGTGTGTACAGAAGTAATGGATGCCACTTCCATATCCCGTACTGTTAACTGTTGGTCTACAAATTATCTTAGGTTTTAAAAATGGGCCGCTAACTCCGACATTGTTATGGCAGATGACCATTCACTTGTCAAATATATGTTAAAGTAATATTTTCGACATCAGCATGTATTCCTATGTGTGTCAAGTTTCAGTTTAATCCATCTTGCTGCTTTGTCGTATTTTCTTTCTAAACATACAGGCACGCATTGCCCCTGACTTCGGAGTCTTCATTATTTAATAAGTTTTTCTTTTTAGTTTTCATATTTTTATTTAATGTTATCTTCAAGAACAGAGAAAAGAAAACTGATCCGTTTTTTCTTTCCTTTTTTTGCGACATTTCTATAAATGGAACAAGGAATTGTAATGTCACGATTTTTATTGGTTGCTTTGATCCAATCGGATTCAGCGTCTATTGTGTTGCTGATAAAACCAAACATTCTTCAGGAGGTTAATTACTTTTGGTAAATAAACCGTAAAGGATTTTTTATTTGGTAAAAAGAGACCACGGAAAAAATAGCTCAAACAAATGTTTGAGGTAACATTTAATCTATATGCAGACAACAAAGACAGACGACACGAACTGAGTTTAAAAACAGACGATAAATTTATTAATACACAAAAAATGAAAGAATTACACAAATTAAGTGCATTGTGTGCCAAATGATGACCAATAACATGTACAGTATTTACCAAAATGGATGAATCATTACTGTTTTTCTTTGACAATTTAGGTTTTTGGCAGTCTTATTAGACTTTAAATTCTCACAGAATAATCTCTTGTGAATTCTCCTTTGGCTGGTTGATGACCGTCTTTTGGTAAAGCTAGTATTGCTTTAGATTATTTTCAGGGAAATAGAAAAAGGAACTACTTAAAATGAAGACAGGACAAAATACTTCTCTGAATAGTTTTCAAAATCTTTTCGAAGAAATGTTCGTGGTAACAGCAAAGAATAGCATAAGCACATCAATTGAAGACTTTTCCTTGATGTGGGAGAGACTTTGATGTTCCTTCCAATTCTTGTCTGTGTTATAATGTCTAGAGTAAGACAAGCCACCCCCGTCCCGAATGACTGCGATTTATATTTGCTTACCGGTCTACGTGGAAAGGGCGAACAACTTGTCTGGCTCCGTTGCCGGTGTACTGTCTAGGACAGTTCCTCATGCAAGACAGTACCGTCTGTTCTACTCCACAGTCTGGTGGTTGTTAATCTTTTTCTGAGTTGTTTTTCTTTCTGGGCCGTGGCGACCTGGGGTTCCTGTAGTAGTTGTTTGATGACCCCGAAAATTAACTCCGTCCCTTAAATAACCCACGGGTAGGCTCCAAGTACACTTCTCTGAATTTGGAAGGAAACCCTTTTATTTGTTTTCGATGGAAAATGAACGCAGCTATTTTCATACAAATCGAAATGTACCAAAATATTTTCAAAATTCATAAATTAAGCAAGAGTCCAACGTATGAAACTATGTGAATCTGGCAAAAGTAAAAGGTTAATCTAGAATATGAACTGGAACGGATAAAAAGAGGCTAACCGTAAGGAATAACATATAAACTGAAAGAAAAGACAGATCTGAGAAGAATGACTTTATTGATTTTTGTGAAAAGATATTATCAAAGGGCCATCTGGAAGATTTAAACCCACGAGGGCTAAAGAGTAATAGTGAAAAAAACATTAGAAATCAGTTGAGAATTTTGCAAACGAAAGCAGAAATTGATTTATGTCCGCTTACTAAAGTGGATGTTACGAAAACATGTCTCATGATTGCCAAACTAAAGAAGGGGTCAACTGAGTTATAATATTTGGTAATTTTGAAGAGGAGGGCAAAATTGAGAAACTGATTTATGTCTCTCTGTCAAAGAATGGAAATGTGAACAAATCGAGAAATAGGATCTTTTGGTGATTGGAAAGGAACCTGTAAGGTTCATAAGTACGATTAAGCGAATAAAATATGAAAACAAATATTTTCTATTAACGGGT